GGCCTGAGCCTGCCGCCAGCTCGACGTGGCGCAACGCTTCCGCTCAAAGGCGAGCCGATTCGAGTCCGCGTCCGAGTCTTGCGTCGAAAGGACGACTCGAGCGCGTCCATTTGGTTAAGCCTTGGTGTCGGTCGATCGGACGACAGTCAAATGATTGCTTTTCCCGTACCCTCAAGGCATCGCGTTTGTCTGAGCCGCAGAGCGATGTGTTCAGCTTGCGCAATCTGGCCACCTCAACGTGCATGTGTATGCGTGCGCGCTTGTGTGTATACGACCACGGTGACTGGGTGTAACTGCAACAAACGTCACAGACACCGAAAGTGTGACAGTAATTATGACTTTAACTGAGTCAGCCCCATTTTTGCTACACACCCGCGAGCATAGGCAACCTGTCACGGGCACACCTCATCGGTCGTCCCATTTTCCCCCTGGCCACAGACAGACACACTCGGCACACCGACAAGGCGGCGCCGATTCAGGCCACATGACGTGTGTGTGTCTGTGTGTCTGTCGTGCGCAACCACATGAACGCACCATCCTGCAGCAGCAGCAGCAGCATCGGTGCAATGGACCAACTGCCTCTTCAAGACTGCCGCTAACCGGGGAGAGTATCGCGGTTGCCATCGCCACCGTTTCAGGCCTCGCCTGTCCTGTCTTTGATGAAAAGCACACAAACCACGTGAGAATATGATCAAAGCGCTCTTCGCACACAGTCGCTCATGAGTAGTGGGAAGTGCTTTTCAATCGGGCCTGGAGTATAATTATTCTCAAACAATACTCGTTCAATTCCTCGCCAGCCCATTATTGGCGAATTGTGCACTTTTGCTATTGGTCGCGTTGCCCCAACCGACCTCGTCGTAACACGCCTCGCCTCGAAACGGACGCGAGTCCAACATGTGCCAACGACTACCAACTCGGGTTGCTTTGGCGACGACGTGAATTGGGCTGAAGGCCCGAAAAGGCCGGCCAAGTTGCCCCGCTCTTGTTTTGCGCGCCCGACTGCACTCTCGAGCCATCCTCGAGGTCGCCAGCAGCATCACCAGTCCCGGAGACACGGTAGCCAGATCGATTTATGAGATGAAAGACGAAAGAATATTTTGTCGTGGCGACGATTGAATACAGAGTGCATGCTGAAGAGATGACTCACGAAGACGACTGCTGATGCCCGGCGGCTGAAGTGTTCACGTCATCGGGTGTTTTCGAGGGGTCGGCTTGACCTTGACGCCGAGTGAAAGTCGTTGCTACGTCCAGCTCACCTTTCGTCTGCTGGCCAATTTGTTCACGCTCTCCCATTTGCTCGGGGCCGGTGAACAAGTGTCGGCCACATGATGTATCGCACGCCCCGGATGCTGATTTAACCATCGATTGATAGTTGCTCTTCCACCGACAACAACATGAGCACGACTATCGGTAGATGTTGAGCAAGGAGCGGAAGCATCGTCTACTCATTCATTCGGGTCGCTTCAACCATCCGTTGCTGTACCATCCTGGGAGACCGACAGCCATCCAGCCTCTCAGCACTTGCGAACGGCCTCGAGCACCAGTCGTGGTGCCGGTGGTGCCGGAGACTATCAACAAAGCTGCGTATGCATGATTGCACCGTTCGTTGCCATGGCGAGAAGGGAGAGGCTGGAATGACTTAGTCATTTCTGCAATGAAAATTTGGTTTCTTGCATTTGATGTGGAGAAGCGACGGTGGATCCCAGCCGAAGAGGACGGCGGACCCGTCGGGCCGTTTTTATGAACGGGTCCCGAGGCACTATCGTTCGATTGCGGTGACACTGTGCTCAGCTTTCGTCCGCCAACTCACGGACATCATATCGGCGCAGGACAACCATTTTTTTAGTTTTGTTCACTTTTTAGCTTGAATATGGTTGTACAAGTTGGACTGCCCTCGGATGATCTCTTTGCTGCGACGGACCAAGGGGATTGCCTCGGCAACAGAGCAGGCAAGAATGTTTCAGTGA